GAACAGCACTCTAATCGTACACCAGCGTGGTATGCAGAGGTTTGTTGTGGAGAGCGGTCACGTGTACGTATATGTATAGCACCTGTATCTTCGTATCAGGCAGCATGCATTTGTCTGTTGTCACGCTCGCAGAGCAATATCTGCAAATTTCCATTTCCATCCTACAGTAAACAGTATACATAGCATTCGTGTATGAAATCACAATAGCATGGCACATATTTATAAGGTCGCTGGATCGGCTTTTCTACCAGTGCACTGTCGCCGAATGTAAGGATGGACGGATGTACGTAATAATTTTTGTGTACACATATATGGCAGCGGTTGTTGTGGATGGATATTCTAATGAGAACCACCAAAAACCTTGTGGGCATGGACTACATTTCCGAAGAAAAGAATAATGGATGGTCATACTGAGGGCCGCACAATGAACGAATGAAAGGCAGTTTCAAAATACCAGTGACATTATTCGTCAGTGTGCTTTATTACAAGCATTGTCAGTTATTTGATGCACTTAGTCGTTTATGCATAGCGGACATCGGCAGTATAAGGTCCCGCTTCCCAGTCGAAATGGCTTCCAGCTCGGTACTGGAAGCGCAAATCCAACTTCGTCATTACCAGGCCCAACCAGACGTCGTCAATAGGAATACTGCGAGTGAAATGCATAGAGATGGTCAGCTTCTCCAACTGTTCATAACCCAGGAAAAAGCGACCAGAACTGTATGGTGGAAGGCTGGGCAGGGCATCTCACGCTTTGAGAGCGCCCATTTGTCAGTTCTGGCATCGTTGCCGTAGCGGACAGTCGGAGGTTTGTTCCATTTCAGCCTGACGACCATGCGATCTCGCCAGTCTGCTTCTAGGCGTGCAAGAAAGCAACGTAGATTTTTCGGGTGGAAGCCGTAGTCGTCGTCCAAAAAGAGGAAGCCAGGTCGTTCGTTTCGGCAAAACCTGGCGGCCCATTGGAAGTTAGTCATCATTTTGGTTGTGAGGTTGTAATATGTGTCTTCATAGTCGCCTACCAGGAGATCATTATACTGCAATATCTCCTCCCTCAGACGCTAGAGGATGAGAGGATGGGTGTGTTCGATGTCTTCGAGAGCCTTTCCAGCTCGAGTGGTGAGGTTCACGTTAAATCCGTCACGCGTAAATATCGCATTGCAGATCGTCTGGGCTGACCGACGGAAAAGACGATGCCTATTCGGAAGGGATGTCGAGTATATACACTGAAATCATTGATTCGAGCGTAAAGAGTGCGAAATTTTTGAAGATCTTCGAAATTGTAAGCTGCCGTCTTGACGATAACCTCTAGGTCATAGTTAGATTTGAGAGCGGAGGTAGTATTAACATCTTTTTCCTTTACCGCTGCACAAATTGTAGAATTGACATGGGTAGGCCAAATAAGAAGGGTAAAAAGGATGGAAAACATATATCACAAACGTGTGTACATTGTGAGGGGTAGAGGAGGGAGGAGGTAATAAAAACAGCAAGGCAGTTCAGGTTGCAGTGGAAGCCTGCAAAGTATAATTAAAAGGGGGGAGGGGGACTTTCATTATAATCCCTAGGGATCAACTATAAATGTAGAACAACCCCGTTTACCCAGCACTCGCTTTTAGCTTAGCAACACCTTAGTGCTTTAAATGACCTACGAAAGGACACAGATGTCGTTAACTCGAGACCAGACAAAAGTAGCAGCGCCGTGATTCTTACGTGATTCTTAGGTAAGTAATATGGAAAACATATTAAAGGATCCCAGCAAATTCTCTCTCGAAATCCGTGGGAAAGAAGAAACAAAAGCACTGGAAGATCGTATTGCTAAAAAGGTAAAATCGCTGTAGG